AGATAATGGTGCTCAGACCAGAACGCCAGGAAAACATCTGAACAACGTCTTCAGCAAACAGTCATGATGAGCACTTAATACTCAAACTATAAGTATCCATCATACTCAAAAAAGTGCGACATACGGTCAAATTAATCGCGATCTTATATCTACCATGTGCTAACCTGTACATTTTATGATTCCTCATTCCATCTTCAAAGAAAATAGAGCATCTTGCATAGTAATGCAGAGTACAAGTACTATGGACATGTACTTCGACAATACAGTATTTCACATCATTTCCCAATTTTCTTCTTCGTTCATATCAAGTGTTAAGTTTACTCAGTTGCCATGCGAATGAGCTCTTTCCTCCTTATTCCCACAACAGCGATAGTTGCTGGTTGCGGTGCCGTCTCAGCATATAGACGACCTAGACTATTGGGTTCGAAGCTGCCTGATGAAGTCATGTCAGCGAAGGAAGCTGTTTCAGCGAATAGTGCACGATTTCTGAGTAGCAAACCCGACAGAGTCAATGTCATTTATGCACCAGAGGAAGAAGAAAGAATGATGAAAGACATGGAAGACATTCTCAATCTTGTGCGAGACAGCAGCCAAGAAAAGATTGTTCCTCACATACCACCTTCTGCAATCACGAAAGGCTCGAATTCTGTCGGGACATTTTCTACTGATCTGAACGAATTACCGCCTATTCAGTACCATGATGGACAAATTTCTGCAGAACATCAGCACATTGGCTATCCGTATGGACAAACTTCTGCACAACATCAGCAGGGGTACGGTGGCAACTTACATCCTGGAGTGATGCACAACTCAAACGCAGTCAATCATGTGGACCAAGAGATCTCGATTGGTGCGAGAAATTTCGCGAAATCTTTCAAGTGGACAGTTGACTTAGCCGACATTGTACGGAGTGCAAGTACCCGAGATGACCTTGGTTTCCTGACTCGACTTAAACAATTCGAAAAGTTACGAGATACTTGGCTAGAACACGCCTATAAATGGGTGGCTCACAACAAACAATCTTATCCTGCAGCCTTTTCCTCAGAGCATATTCCAAGTGATGAATTTTTGTCCTCTCTCGATTCTCAGGTCGCGGAGGCTGAAAAGCTCTTTACTCAGCCCTCAACTGATCAAGAAATCGATGATGTTCTTAAAGCGAGCATCAATGCTGCTCCTGAAAAGCAACGTCATAAGATTCAGACCTGGCTGTACCAATCTGTAGATATACCTACGAAAAGTATGTTTATGGAACCTCTTTTTTTTTCATGCGTCGTGATGAACAAAATCAACACCGTCGAAGTCAAAGAAATTCCTGTGAAAATGGCTCAACGCATGAAATTTGCGACTCAGCAGATTGTTAAGAGCCATGCAAGTGATTCGTATCCTTCCCAGTTTCTATTAGCCCATATCGACGATAACTTACTTGAGAATTCACCCGATGTTGTGGAGTCGAACCTACTGGATGAAAGCAAAGGCATTGAAGGCGGACTTGACAATGTTCTTGCGATGACTAGTGATGATGTTGAACCATGGGAAAAGTTTATGGATCTGTGCTCCCAAGGTCATTTTTCCTCTGACGATCCCTTGATGCAGGCACTCGAAGTGTACACGAGACTTTATATTCACGACTATTTCATCAAGGAGCCGAAATTGATTGGATGGAACGATTGGATAAAGATGAGTCAGACAATACCTGGCAACCTGATGAATGAAGTTGTTGAGGAAGTGAACGGTTTGCTCATTCATGGTGCTGGTGGAGAAGGAAATCTCAGATTTCAACTGTTGAGAAGAAAGAAGTGGGATGACAAGGTAAGGAAGAGAAATATAAAAGTTGGGTGACCGATTCAGAAATGTCTCCCGCGAAATTGTATCAAAATCATGTCATGGAGTCGTCCGATAAATCTTTGAAGAACCTTGTTAACTATTACACAGTTGACTACATTCTTAATATTTTTTTGTCTGTGCAGCCAGTATTATTCCGGCAACAATGGCATAGTCAGCTCCAAAGTAAAAAATGACGATACTAATCTTCCATTCTTGCATCTATGTTCTACGTAATCGTTTGTTCTGATTCTTTCTCCTTCGCAAAATGATTATCATTGAAGGAAAGACTGCATCTTTTAATTTTCCGTTTTTTTCTAATTCAGTAATATTTTGAATATTACACTTCATGCAGCAAGGAGAAAAATTAGCTTCCAGAGTCCGCGCTTACAGAAAATGACTACTCTTGAACTTAGTATATGACCTGTAAAATTAAGATGTGATTTATAAATTAATAAAAATCCTTGATGTTCAATATTCAAAAATTAACAGACTTTAATGGTACTATTGCAAGTGTGTAATTGTCTGATGACAATATTGTACAATTGTTTGCTACGTAGAAACTATGCTGATGTGAAATTCTGGAAACCAATGACAGCGATACAAAATTAAGTTTTATCAAGGATTGTTATCATCCATGTTGTGGAGGTAAAGTTACAGATGCGAAAAACACTAGGTATCATAAACCGTTTATATTCAGATCCTTATCGGCCACACTGGCAAAGAATGCAATTCTCAATACATTACGCAGAAAATATAAACAATGCAGCTCGTCAAACGGCTTCTGCTTGACTTGTATGATGTTACCTAAATTTAGCGCTTTAAAAGACAGCCTACGCAGCTCGCTGTGAGAAACGCTGTACTACCATTTCACCCAATCTCTCGGTCTTGTTGACTATATAGATTCACCTTGACTCAAACATCTGTCACCAATGTAGAAGCAGGTGGCTAGTGTTTGTGCTAACTACTAGACAAATGGCTCAACAACTCATGTCGGTGTCTTTCGAGTCCCCATCACATGAATCACATAATAAAACATTATTTTCCGTCTCGCCTGCAAGTCGACTGAGTTGGTCAGATTGAGGCTCAAGGCCTGTACATCGGAACAATTGTAACGTACCACCCGTGAAAACGTAACGTCGACACAAAGGTCATTATAATCTCGATGCTGAGCCGCCTAAGTGAAGTTATATAATAGACATAGTTTTGATATCAACATAAACGAGTTGATTAAAGCGCCAATAATGGATTCTCTACATCTACCAACTGACAGGGCAAGACCGATGCTGCGGCAGCCACTCAAACTTCTATTTGAGAAGATCAACATTGGGCTTTGCCGACAAGGTAGTGTCTGTCACATAACAGAGTAGCTTGATCAAAACAAATATTTGTCGCGATGGAGTTGATTAGGCTCAAGTAAAATTGCTAAGCAATTCAGAGCAGAATTTGTATATCTTTTAGTTTATAAGGCCCAGTTGATCCGAAGCTCTTTTTGGAAAAATAGTTAGGTGCCACGGATATCTCTTCTGAGGGATCTTTGGCGAGTCATGATCCCACTTCTGTGAGAAAACAGAGGTGCTCTTGGTACGGGCACGAAGCTACGATGTCTTCAGTGCAGATCCTGGGATGGTTCGAAATCGACAGCAGTTCTCTTGCTAGATGCTTTGACTCGAGCTCAGGGGACAAAAGCGACAGTAAGCCAAGGTCTTAAATGAGACGGAAACGACCGATAGTATATCACGGTCTACAACGTGTTTCTCTGCTGACACAAAGAAGGACAACCGTATATTGTGACTCCCAGATCGTGTTGCAGGCAAGATGATAACGAGCAGCTGTTAGCTTCTGGTGTGGCAAAGCTAGTATAGTCTAGACATATGTATGTCGCGAGTAAGATAAAAATGATGACTAGGATGCGATAACTCGGCTGTGTCAGCACTACCGTATGACATGCCTACCGTGCGGAGCAAGAACGATCCACAGGTAAATGACTAATCAGTAATACTCACATGACTTTCTCTTCATTCATGAAATAATAATTAAAGGGCCGTACTTCTCTCCGTTTTCTCCGCTGCATGCTCGTACAGAAAGTAAGTTTTTGAATCCTAAAAATTTGTGCGGTCCCGACGTACCATTTCGGATCCTCAAAATGGTACGTCGGTACCGGAGTAGATGCTGATACCCTTTTCATAATGGCAATCTCTATCATTGAGGTGACGAACATAACCCTAATTGGGAGACGTGGGCGACTGTCTTCAAGGATTCTATGATTTTTTCTGTCGATTTAAGAAGTATTACGACGAGGTGAAGAGGGATCAACAACGCGTGTTACATCTGACTAGAGTTGCGTTATGAACTTGACCATTCGCTAGCGTATAATAAGCGACACGTAGCCACGATTACGGCGCAATCGCCAGTCTCTAGACATGGTTTGTTGGAGAAAAGCATGGTCAAGTGATCTTTGTATCGAGACCTGGCTGATTGATATACATCTTTATCTACTGATTCGTGACAGTGACGACCCACTCACTGCGATTGCGTCTTTGAGCAGGATGCTATGAAAGTGGCTGCTTATGTTACAGCGACTGTCTATTCCACCAGCGATGTTAAATCAGCGGGTAATTAACTGTCAGACCACACCATGATTATTCACAAGCCCATGATAGCGATATATTCGTGTTAACCGAGCAGAGCACAATAATATTGGATATGGCATGTTAAATACTTGCGAACGGTGCTCGAGTGTATGCTCCTTTGAAATTAAATCCATATAAAAAGTGCGTCTTTGCTGCCGATGAAATTCTTGTCTCAACTTGATTTATTGAAAGGCAGGGCTTGCGGGCGGAATCCGAGGCGATAAAGACCATCAGAAAGTATCCAGTACATCTGTCCGAAGATGACTTGAAGAACATTTTTGGCCTGGCCGATAGCTTACAAAAGTACATGGGAAATTATGCCACCATGGCGCGATTCCTCGTCAATCTTTTCGAACCTCATGTCTAACGGTCCTGGTGTACAACAAAAACTGCGGCCTATAAGGTTGTAAATAAGCATTTCTTTTGCTCGAAGTTGTTCGATTCAAATTTAGACCATGCATCCTACGTCGTCCACGGAGCTAAATCCCTTACAAAATGGCTGCACTTTACTTCCAGCAGTTGTCAATGGGCATGAACGCGTAATCGCATTTTAGTCTCGCAGACTAGAAGCCGCAGCGAACAGCTACCCTGTTCATGACAAAGATCAACATGCAATAAAGAGTGCCCTTGTTAGGTTTGAGCTGCAGATCCTTGGCGTTAAGCTGCTTGTGATCGCCACATCTCTCACCAAGAATAGACCAGCCAAAAAAATGCAATTTTTATGGAGTTTACCAGTCTACCAAACCGCTGCTGCCCCATGCACACACAAAAATTCTGCGAAGCGGTGACCAGCGAGGTCAAAGAGCGCTCTCAGAGCAACTTGCGAACGTACATTGAATCTCTATATGAGTGGAAGGCCAACGAGCATAGATCACTTAGGACTGCATTGCATCGCTGACAGCGTCTTCGGATTCATCAAGGCGTGAGCATAAATAAGGCTTTTTTCCGACAGTCGATGTGCGGCGGGGCTGCCTTAGCTCTTTTGCTTAGAGGAGGCGTTCTATACTTTGAGCCAGTACGAGAGTAGCGGATCGCAATACGCTTACTTTAAGAGTAACTACAACCTTAACCCAAGGCTAATTCTTTCATTTGTTTTTGTATTTCTCATTTTAATTGCGGCAAAGCCACCTATATTTAAATTTGTAGGTTTTCTATCTATGAAGTAAAACCTAAACAAATGTATAAATACTGGCTGTTCCAGTCACGTACTGACTTCTTGTTCAAGTATATCCACACCATTGTGTGCTCACGCCATCTTGTGTAGCTCACAACCTTGTGTGATCACACCATTTTGTGTGAACGACACCCTTCATTTCCAGGGCACGTGAGATCCCGTTACTCGATGCGAATCTTGCAGATGCTCAAACTCGTCTCACTTTTTCAGATACAAGTTATTGGTAACAAGCTGAACCTACCAAGAGTTCCACTGCGGAATCGTCCGCTGCAGAAAGCGGGTACGGAGTGGGTGACTCGCGCTAGGTGAGACGGAATGTAGCCGCCCTTGGAGGATATCTGCAGGCTTTCGATTTGTCGGGATAGATCTTGGCTATTGTCCGAAGCCCATTATAGTCCTGAATTCATTTTGGAGTCTACAAATATTTTACGTCATATTTGTGACGTCACGACAGCAATCAGCCCCAAACTTTCACCCTAAATTTGTTCGAGTACCCAACCTAGTGCTGTATTTTCATTCGTTTAGATATTATTTTTGAAGTCTGCGAAGTTTGAACGTCATGTTTGTTACGTCACTACGAGGCAACCTCAAATCGTCGCCGCTATAAATTGTATTTACTTACTTTTGTGTATCTAATAGACTTTCACAAGTAGGTTTCGCTCCCATCAAGAATCCAGCCGCAATTACGATGTCCAAAATGGTACATCGTAATAGCAACAAGAACAGAGTTATGCATCGGCATCCTCGCTAAGTCAAACTACAGCGGGGCTGCCGTGGCTCTTTGCGAAGAGAAAGCTAAGCTATGGTTTCCGGTTTACGTTATTGACAAGAACCAGAGCGAGTGTAGCGGATCGCAATTCGCTACATCCGGAGTGCTTCAAACAAAGGTAAAGACGCTCTTCTGTTCAAAATTGAAACTGTATTTAATTGTTTTGCTGTGGCAGAACCATTAATATTAAAAACCTTAGGTTTTCCTTATTAATACAGCAATACCGTATTGATATAGTGAAGCCTAATTAATGTTTATTATTTCTGACAGTCCTGCCTTCTTGTTACGTTGAGCCACACCATTGTGTGATTCCACCAACTAGTGTAATACACACCTATGTATGTCACAACATCTTGTGTGATCCGCCCTTTCGTACAAGGGTACGTGTAACCCCGTTACAATAGCTTCAAGAGCTTCGGTTGCAAAAACCGCGCCTTTTCGGTGGCTTGCTGAGCCATATGATGATATGCGCGGTAGACTCCTGTTGCAAATTAGGAGCAAGTACTCTAGCGTAAAACTCTGCGCGCAGTGATTGCTCGTTGTGTGTACGCTGATTCACAATATCCCAAAAGCGTAGAGGAAGAATGAGCCGTCAGGGAGAATATTCCGGGGGTTGTATTGTTCATTGTTAACCTATACTTTCTGGACACTTATGTATAGTAAAAATTGTACAATTGTGAGTACATTTTTGTGTTATCGTGAGTTTTAGAGTTACCGTGTATTGGTACGATTGACGATAATGGGACTCAGTAGAGGTAAACACATAGCAACAAGGTAGTCTTGTTATAAAGCGGTTAGTGAGTTAAGAAATCTTATCTATACGTCACGTTGAAACAACAGAGCAACGTATGTATCTACTTACTTTAAGGGCCCTAGTTGAAGCGCACAACCCAATTTATCTGCATTTGTAAACGTGGACTCTTCTAGTCGTAGCTTTCTTCGTGCAACATGCACGACTGTTAAATTGAAGAGCATGGTAAAAAATGAGCAGCATATACTCTTCAAGCAACATGAGTGGCTTTTATTTTTCGCTAATTGGCGTAACAACCAGACAACATCATATTGTCTACAAAAAACTTTCATTTTAAATTACCGGCTTCTTAAGTTTTGAAAAGAATGTAACTCCCGACGTCGTCCCATGAATTCGCTTTAAGCGTAAGCACTTTGTCCACTTGACTCTATCATGGCGTTCCCGTACCCGATTAACACTCGCGTCACTTCGCGTACTTTTGATAAAATACAATGCGATCGTCGACGACAAGAATTGGAGCATAATGCTTTAAAAAAGTTTACGCAAAATAATCAATTACAGACGCTACAGAATCAGTCAGACGTTAATGTGGCATTTCGTCGTCGTACGAACTATGCGGCTCAATTGTCAGCTGAACGCATGTTTGATGAGACTCATATGCAAAATCAAAGCGATCGACACCGTGCTGAACGTGAGAAACAACAGAATGAGGCGCTAGCATGTGCACTTGAAACGAATTACAAGGTTCAAGAACAAGAAGAGCGAAATGTGCAGCGAATTTGTGAGGCTAGTGAAGAGCTACGCGAACTTGAATCATTCCTTAAAACGGCTTATATGAATAAAGATCGAGCTAAGCAGCAACTTGAGCGTGAAATGCTTGCAGCTCGAGATCGTCAGCGTGAAATGGCAATTGAACAGCAAATGGAGTACGATCGTCAACGCGCACTTGTTGAATATCAAAATGAAGAGGTGAGAAAACGAGTTGAGGCTGAAGAGGGCAAACGGGTACTTCAGACTCAAATGATTCAGCGTCAGGAGTTACGACGTGAGGCTCAACTTGAGGCAGATGGAGAGCGACAGAAAATTGAACAGCTCATGCAGCAGGTTGAGCTTGAGGATGCTGCAGAGATCGCACGTCGAGATAAAGCACGTGAAGAAACACGTGAGATGATCACGCAAACTCTTCGAGAACGCGATCGTGTGAAACAGGAACAAGTGGCGGTTATACGACAGGAAGACGAAGCTATTGCGAGGTACCAACGACACATAGCAGCCCGTGAGGCAGGTATTAAAGCTGCTACAGACGTTAAAAAAGCACAGGAAGATGCCATGTTTCGTGCTGTGGAAGCCGAGATTCAAGCTAATATGCGCAAGGATGAAGAAATTGAACGTTTGCGCGATCAATTATGGGAAGAAGAATTGTTGCTGAAAAAGCGTGCAGAGGAGGATGAAAAACGAGCTGCAAAAGAAAAAGCAAAGGATGAGATGATACGTAGCAATGAAATGCAAATGCAGCTCAAACAGGAATTGCGTGCTCGTCAACGTGCTGACGAAGACGCGTTTAATGAAATGCTTAAGGAAAGATTTCGATCTGAGGAACGCCGAGAAATGGAGCTTGCCGTATTTCGTCGAAAACAGCGCGAGGAATTTGTTGGTGAGATTGCACGCCACCGTGCACTTAAGCAAGAAATGGTGCATGCTGAACTTGAGCGCGAACGACACGAACGGGAGCGTCAGGAGCAGGATGAAAACTATCGACGCCAGGTGGTTGAGGCTGCGAAGCGGCGTTTACTGCGCGAACACGCCGATGTGTTGCAAGATTACTTGCCGCGTGCATTGCGTCCGACCTCGTCTTCAAGCAATTCTATTATTCGCTGATCACTTAAAATATTTTCATAACACAAGTTTGATGAGTACGTCCATATTTCAAATTTCTTGGTTCAAAGGTTTCACCGCATATTCTATTACGGGTGACTCTCGGTGCAGTCTACAATCGTACTTTGACGGTCGCTGTGCTTTTCTCATCTTTCAATTATCGATAGATCTTAAGCGAACGATCCATAGACGTAGATGCCAGAAAGCTTGAGTCCGGTGCGAATTGTACGCCCGTAACAACCGCTTTATGATCGTTGAACGTCTTGATCACTTCCCAATGGTTCTTGCCTACTTCCTTTAGCACTTGCACACTCTGTGCACTTGCAACTGCAAGGTGCGTACCACTGGCATCAAAGTTTATTGAGTGAATCACTCCCAAATTAAGTTCGGGCTGATGCTTTTTCAAGTCGAGTTCAAAAAAGCTCGTAGCCTTGCGCAAATCCCAAAGCTTGACAACACCATTTTCACAACCGGACGCTAAATAGTAGCCATTCTCGGAAAAGCTTAGCGCTGTTACAGGAGCCGCATGGCCTTCAAACGTCACCACGTTCGATAGCGTATTAACGGCCCACATTTGCACCAATTTGCTCTTTGCTGCAGTGCCAAAGATACCACCGTCTGGATGAAAACGAACACAACGTGTCTCATTCGCTGCTTTTAGAGACTGATTTGATGATACATTAGGCATGGCCAGCTCGCCGTTTAAAGTGTAGCGAGAGAGCAATTGACCACGACGGACATCGTGGATCGCCCATGTTGCATCCATAGAACCAGATAAGACGTAATTGCCTGTCGGATGAATTGATGAGCTGATTACAGCATCATCAAAGTTTCCAAGCGTGTAAGCAACACTGTATTCGTCTCCTTGTAAGGTCCACAGCTTTACAGTCGTGTCGTATGAAGCTGTGAGGATCAAATCTGCTATTGGATGGAACTCAAGATGACTTAGTTTCTTGCTATGACCAGTAAGTGTCGCCACAACCTGCTGTTTGTCCGTGTCAAAGAGTTTAGCATGTTTATCAACACCACCCGTAGCCACTAATGTTGGCCGCTTATTGTCAATGGCTATACACGTGACACCAGGCTTGTCTGAATCGTGCAGTGTGTGATTAGAAACCATATGCCAGTTAACTAGATCACTGAGGAGTGCAGCCTTTTGCGGTCCTTCTTTTTTCTTGAAATCCTTGCGCTTTTTGGCCAATTCTTTCTGCTTCGCTTCAATAGTGGCCAACACTTCAGGTGCAAGTGTAGCGCCATCATGCATTTCTACATCTTCCTGCTGTCCTGACGATAATGAGGTCAGACGTTCCTTGAGCGTAGCATTTTCTGCGTTGAGACGCGCAATGACGCGGCAGGCAGCATCATGTTGATACAATGCGTGACTTAATTCCTGACGCGTTTGTTCCAGATGTTGTTTCAGTGTAAAGGTCTCAAGCATGACAGCATCCCACTCATTCTGAAATGTAGATAAAAGTTGTGGAATACTAGAAGCCTCGGGTGCGATAGCCATAGACGTCGATGCTGTCGATTTTACTGTTATGGACGTCGGGGCGGCTTGCAACGTCAGGAAATCCTGATCGATATTGAGCTCAACGCCCGTGATGGGACAGCGGTGCTGATTCTGCTCTAGATATTTAAGCACAAGACGCTTTTCAAACACATGACCTGATTTGAGCGACACCACAGGCTCGACGGGCACTTGACCACTTAGACTACACAGCATTATTTTAGACGTCCAAGGGGATTAGATGTTTCTATGGTTTTGATTTTATATTGTTTTATTATGTCTTTTACACAATAGCAAGATTTTTACCATTGATAATAGATCGATTTTTCATGACATTTTTAGATATCAGTCATAATATCCTTAAAATAAGCTAATCCCCGACTCTTTGAGATATACACCGTCTGCATGCTGCATTTGCACGTCTTGACTTCGCGTTTTAAGCTTCTCAGATGCACTTCATATATTTAACAATAAAATATTTGTACTTGTTGCAGTAAAATAGTTATATCTTGTTTTAAGAGTGGCTTATTTGGGTGACGAGAAGCCGGGCTGATATCGCGTAAATGAAGACTGGAGATACAATATCAAGAAATCCTTCAAGGGAAGAAAACATTGGTTATGAAATGAGGGCTTAACAGACGTATAATTGGAAATGATATTTAAAAGATATATTAGTCAAAAAGGCGAAACTAATATCATATTACTTTAACTCTTAGCAAAGATTTTAGATTCATATACCTGAAGTTTAGAGAGTCATGAGAATGAGACCATGAGACCAGTCTTCAGGCTCTTAGTTTGGATAGCAAATAGTGCATGGGATACAATGCGCTGTCTTTGCAGCATGCTGACGAGTGGTATCACGATAAATCCATTGAGAAGTGAAAAAGGCCATAGATCGTCCTAGACAAGCAAGAAATAGATTTGATAAACAACAAATTGCGCATGGCATCACTAACATCAAAATGTATGGTAGGTCCATCAGATCTGTTGAGAGGAATTGTCAGCACAGGGTGGAGCCCTCAGTCGAAAGATGGTGTTAATTTATAATCTTCACACGGACCACACAACTAATATCTTGAACAACGAATTCAGGAGATGTGCGAAATTAGAAATGGCCTATCCAGCCAGTCAACTCTTTAGTTTCACATCATTGGCTATCCTTCACTTAGTGTGCCAAACATAAACTTATCTGATTGTTTGCTCTATTCTTTTATGTATAAAATCTAACAAGATACCTATATAAATCTATTTATTGTGTAGAAGTATTTTTTCGTTCTCAAAAAAATTGCAGATTGCAAAGTATATTTTCCACCAATCGGTCACCTGCTAAGTATGACTGGCGGCTATCGGACCGATTAACCAATTCTTAAGCCATTCCCAGTTTCTAGTCCGAATCCATCATGGTGAGCAATTGTCGTATGTCTTTAGCATTCTGTCGATGTATTGAAGACTCTTTCTTCATGTACAGTCGAAGAAAACCGCAACGAAGGAAGTAGAGGAGGTAGTACGTGTAGGCCCATCACTAAAGGAGGGTGAGCAAGTATTTGGCGTGGCGCACATCTTTGCTTCATTCAATGACACGTTCGTTCATGTGACCGATCTCTCGGGCCGTGAAACGATTGTGCGTGTGACTGGAGGAATGAAAGTCAAGGCTGATCGTGATGAAGCGTCGCCTTATGCCGCAATGCTTGCCGCCCAAGATGTGGCCGCCAAATGTAAGGAAGTTGGCGTCACTGCTCTGCACATTAAGATCCGCGCTACGGGCGGTAACCGGACAAAAACTCCGGGCCCCGGCGCGCAATCTGCCCTTCGTGCGCTTGCTCGTAATGGCTTGAAGATCGGACGTATTGAAGATGTAACTCCAATCCCGACCGACAGTACCCGCCGAAAAGGAGGTCGTCGTGGTCGCCGTCTTTAGACAGATGGAACAAGATCAGGGATTTTATCCTTACAATTTTCATGCTCTTTTGATAGCATTTGGAGCTTTTCTTTTGGACTGGGAAGTCAGATTGCTTCGTTTATGGGTATTGTCGGTCCCATTGCGATCAAAACATTGTGAAACCATTTAAACATGAGATTGTAATGGAACAAGGTGATCTTACTCCTTAAAAAAGATATTTTTTATATTGCAGGACCAAACAATTACATTGGCTGCAATAAACATCCTAATACACCAGATCCCTGCCATGCTTGCGGAGTTAATTCCACCACCAAAACCTCCGACTTTCTGCGCACGAGCACTCGAATTTGACGATTAATGTTGCGCTGCACAATGTCCTTAATTGCTGCTAATTCTCTGTGGTTGCTGGCGTCAGCCGATCCAAAACGCAACAACTCATCTTGAGCTTGCAGTCCCGCTATATCAGCTGGAGACCCTCGTTGAACACTTTCCACTACCGCAAAAGAAAGCAAATCTTCCTCTTCTTGCTTCACCTGATTCAGTGTCACTTTCCACTCGGTTTCAAGCTTCTTCATGCTATCAGTTAGATCAATTCCTGCCGTTTTAATTTGCTGCTGTTTATTTCCACTTCGAGCCTCAAACACTCTGCATTTGCGCGTTAATAATATCTCTACCTCGTCAACATGTGATATATTTCATACCTTGGAAGCAGCTTTTCAATTTCATTCATAACAATACGGTGATCTGTTTGTTTGAGTGCTAATTGATGCCGCAGCTGACGCACACGATAGACATCAATGTCTGCGCGGGGAAACCCTTCAGTATCCACAAGTGGTCCATCTATTCCTGGATTATTACCCGAACTTAATTCTGCAACGATAGCCTCAATTTCTGCCTCAATAACTTGCTTGGTCTCCACTGCAGCCTTGTATTCATTTTCCGCCATTTGAAATTTCTGCAATTAAAATAAGTATTGTATCTAAATTAATCCATGGTATATTTATATTATAAAGTTAGGGATGAACACTTTTTTTTTTCCTTCTTCAATCTCGCATGCTTTTGAAAATCTTGGCATTTGGACTCGTCTATAATCTAGCCACTGGGCAAGGCCCAAGTCTAGATGAAGTCGTTAATGACCAGTTACTACGGGTGGGATCCGATCAAGCAGCCCGAGTAGATTGTAGCCAATTGTTTGAGTGCAAGATTGTATCCTATAGTCCCGTTTGTGGCTCGGATGGAATCACTTATGCCAATTATTGTGTCTTTGCAAAAAAATATTGCTCGTTAGATCAAGGTGCAGATACTTTGTATATCCAATCTCAAGGTAAATGTTTTTCTACGTCTGAAAATGATAAATATCAAGACGGAAGAAATTTTGCGCCACTGGATGAACGGTCTACTTTATCTCAATATGACACATTAGAGGTGGATACGTCAAGTGTTTTTTGCTCACTCACGTGCCAAGCGACATCAAATCCGGTCTGTGGAACGGATGGAGTCACGTACACAAACGATTGTCACCTTCTATCCACAAAGTGTAAACATCCACACTTAGAAAAACGCTCGGATGGTGCTTGTAAAAGGGATCATTTCGATATTTTGGAAATTGATGACACTATTTACACTGATGCTGCAGAGGAAAAGTGTAACTCCATGTGCAAACGTTTGTACGAGCCAATTTGTGGCTCAGATGGAGTAACATACGCAAATTTGTGTCTTCTTGAGTATGCTGAGTGTCGGAATCCTAATATCAAAGTTTTTGGACCAGGCAAATGCCCAATTCACATGCAAATAGCTCATACAACACACAATTCTGAGAGCAAAAACAATAATGACGTGTCATGTATACCTGAACTTTGTACGGATATATATGCACCAGTATGCGGCTCTGATGGTCAAACCCATGAAAACCTTTGTCTTTTTTCCAATGCTAGATGTCAATATCCCAATCATGAATTATCAATCATTCATGACGGCGAATGCAACGTCGACACACAAATCACGTGCGACACGATGACGTGTCCTATGTTCACAGAGTGTCGCGAAAAAGCTGAAGCAGATAGTACAATTGTCGCGTATTGTGCGGACGTTTGCTCGCCTGATCGCTGTGGCGAGCTAGACGAATGTCAATTAGTGGATTCTGATTGCTTTACGGCTCCGTGCTCTCCTATTGCCATGTGCGTTCCAAAAACGGTGTGAAAAATGTGTCCATATCATTACGTGAGATCGATTATCTCTACTAAACTTGTGCGATTCTGACAGTTAATGTCAGTTTTTATATCACGACGACCATCAAACCAACCATTAAATTCACAATCAGTAAATAAATTACTTGATAATTCAAAGGATTCACCTTCATCATCATTATCTTGATTCCTTCTCTCCGTGAATTTGTGCCTCTCACTTGTTTCTAAGTCGTTTACGTGACTATCCATGACTCGGGTGTTTCTCTTAATTCGTCGTCCTTGATCACTACTTACTTGCTTCTTATTCTGCTCCCGTCCGATTCCTTGCGTCAAAGCAACTTTTAAAGGGTTCTGACATAATGGACACTCTCCTTTACTATCATCGTCATGATTATCTCTCCTCGTCAACCGAAAATGGTCTTTTAAACATGACTTATGGCAATACATTTCGCAATCTTTATGATAACAATTTAGTATGTCGTCACTTTTCATCTCAGTCTTCAGCTCATTGTCACAAATAAAGCAATGAAAATTGATCTTCACTTTCTCCACACCTGCAAAAGTCTTCAGTGCTTTCGTCTCACAATGCACAGCTAGATATCTCCTCCCAAATTTTCGAGCAATATTATGGATCTCTTCATTTGTAAAAGTCACAATGAGAGGCAGACCCCGAAACGGCTTAAGATTTACTAGCTCCAGCATCTCTACAATCTTTCTCTTGAGAGAGTGAGAGGTTCCAAATTTTTGAAGTGATTCGGCGTGTGGCTTCAAAATTTTACTAGCGTGAGGATGCTGCCAAATCCACTCGACTGCAACATAAAATTTCAGACAATGAACCGTCCAGAAATTCATATTGACATACATTGAAGGGCACGAAATTTGCTTGGAAATCCGTGGACGACAGCAACCATCTCCCTATTTGGTATAATGCAATCAGTAAGTCTTAATGGCTTTACTTTCCTCTTAAAATTATAAATTGCACAAATTCAAAAATTACCCACCAAGGTCGAAATTTTCGCGTTCTCTTAGCTCCATTGACAAGCTCTCCATTATGTTGCCGTATGCGACGTGTTGGGGATACAGTGAAACCAATGTACGTGCACCGCAGGCGCCGCGGAGGTTGCGCGGGGGTTAACAAGTAGCATGAGAAGAAAAGCATCGCATAGAATTGGAGGACCGTTAATTTATTTATTTCATACCGTAATATTCTTAAAATTCATCATAAAGAATTATTTTTTGACAGGTCAAGTAGAAAAAGATTTAATGTGCAAGAATAAAGAAATGCGTGCGATATATTACGAGCCAAATGCTTCGTCGGTCTTGTCTATCATTTTAAATTCGTAGTGACCACGACCATCGAACTAGAACCAGTCGAAACAAAGACGTTATTAGCACATCCAATAAAAATATCAAAACTGATAAAAACTTGACAATACGTACATGAAGTACATATTCGTGGTATGACCACAACGATTTTCGGTGCGACACAGTGAAGAGCGTAATATTTTGTTCCCGGCAATAGCTGTACATTACGCCTTCAATATCAACACTGACTGCAGATGTGCACTCATCTAAAATAGCAAATTGAGGCTTGTGGTAGAACAAACGAGCCATAGCCAAGCGCTGTTTCTCACCACCGGATAAAACATCAGCCCAATCGTGTATACCGTCCCATCCACCTTCACGATCGACAAGGTGGCCAAGTTGCACTTTTTCCAAAAAGAATTTTAAATCATCGTCTGTTCTACTAATGTTCTGCATGTCTTGAAAAGAATGAGGATAAATTATCTGATCGCGTAGAGTGCCAAGCGTCAGATACGGGCGCTGAGGGATGTAAAACAATCCGTTGCGCTTTGGTTTTGTCATTTTGCCGCCAAACAATGGCCACAATTCTCCGAGGATCCGAAATAACGAGCTCTTGCCACACCCATTTGGTCCCGCTACAACAACATTCATCCCCGACTTTACTTTGATATTAAGTGATGGCACTAGCACATCACCATTTGGAGTAACAAGCGGGACGTTTTCAAATTCAATGACATGATCACGATACTGGACATCTCCTTTGTTCGGATACAAACCTAGTGCATCAGCGGAAATCGACTGCGTCTTAGACACTTCATCAACTCTCTCGTCTATACCTTTGAGCATTGTACGCTGGTATTCACCTCTATCTAAATCTTTTAACACGTCGATCAATTCAGTCACGCGAGCAGTAAAACCAGCTAAACGCGTCAATTCTCGACCCGAGAGCACAAGACGACCCATAGCTTCTGACATTTTCATTAACATCTTTCCAGATCGAAAGTAGTCTTGCATTCGCTCTGCATACGAAGTATTAAGCAATCGCTTGTTTGACGAGTCTAAATATGGTTTCGAAAGCACAGCATAACCTACTAGTGTTGCGAAATACTTAGCAACGATATTGTCAATGACGCTTATAGAGAATCGAAATTGCTGCGAGCTGCGCACCACGTCGATAAGCTTGTCAAACGACTGGTCTAAAATTCGTTTCTCCCGAATATTGCCATTATAGAAAGCAATTTCTTCACTATGCGTGATTAATCTCGAGTTGATATAGCGAAAATTTCCTTCCATCTGCTGCTCAGCAATGGTAAATCGACTAGTTGGTTGTCGGAGCCACGTAAGGAAGAAGCCTGACGCAATAAGGTAAGTCAACATGATGACTGGACCTTCAACACCAATAGAAGAAGAGAGTCTAATGAAATAAATGGTAATATCCAATATAGGCTTCGACATGTTTGAATACAAATCCGCCACCGAATTGCTGAAACGTTCAACGTCCACTGTAAGCAACTGATCGGCGTTCGAGATACGGTTGTCAAGGTTCGACACTTTGTAGTAGACAAATCCTTTAACGTATTGTTCGTACAAATGTCTTGTGAGTCGGGTTCGGAAACGCAGACTGAGCTCAGTGTGCCCGTATTTTAGTAAGCTGTTAACACAACTCATAGGAAGCATTATAGCTACGAAACGACGTAAATGACACATGAGATCTTTCTGAGAACGCGAGATAATAGCACTCTCAATCGCCGAGAAGGTTTGTAATACCACGATGTCAAAGGAGGTGCGAGCCATAAGCATGACGGCTACAAGAGCAGCAAAAGCCACTTCAGCTGTGAAAGGGCCGGGCACAATGACCTTAAATAGTCGTAAAAAACGCTGATAAAACTCTTTGTTTACTGCCACCGTCTCACGACTGCCTTGTTTCTTGGTGATAAATTCCGAGTCTATGGAAATGGATGCGTTTGCCTTCTTCTGGCCATGGCTGCGGATCGCCAACGCCAAGGCTACCTAGAGATACGAAAAGGTGAGATATGAATCTGATTTAAGAGGTAGAACGTACAATCGATGCGATTGGAATTGCACCAAAGGCGGCATGTGACTTGGACAACACCCTCATGACCCAGCGCCACTTTCTGGCGTTTGAAAGTTTTCAATTATAACAACAATATTATATTATTTAATAAAGACTTACAATAATAATATATTATTCCATACAAAAGCCGAAATTTTTCATGAAAAGGTCTATCTATGGTCATCATTCAAACATACAGTACTACTAACACTAATTGAAGTTTGTCAGATCGTCAAATTGCTTCTTTGCTTCTGAGTTGAATGGGGCGGATTTTGGATCAAATGGATACGTCGAACGTAGTGAATAAACAGTCACATCAACTATTGCCAGTCTCTTCAAGCAATGCAATTTCTTGTAATCAAGATGTGGTGAATAAAAACATGATATCTACCTCACACCCGACTTTTGACGTATTGGAGCTCCTAGGCCCTTCACTATCTGAAGTATTGACTTTCGTAAACCCACCAAAGCCGCGACGACTTCAAGAGACGCAGCAGAATGTTGACGAGGTTTCGAATGGAATTGAAACGATAGTCCCAGGCAATCAATCGTGCGAAAGCAGCATAAGCTCGCTGATAAACGTCGAATCGCAGTCCAAATTTGACCTCTGCTTGTCAAGATCTGCCATCATAGGTGAGTTAGTAGATTTGTCGGCTGACAATGCACGCAAGATACAAGAATATTTTGCTAAAATGATGAGCACGATTCAGTGCGAAGCCACGGGACTCGTACTACTTCACGACGCAACAGTCGTCATCTTTCTTGAAACGACTGCTGAGCAATTTATACTTATTCTTAAGCAATTACAACAACAGCCGATTGTCAAAGTGCGCTCAATGAAAATACTTGCCAACTGCGACGGTCATGGAGTGCAAATTCTGCAAGGTCTGTATTTCAAAAAGATCGTGATCAATCGTAGCAATAAAGGCGATTGGACCGATGATGCTCCTCAACAATGTATTGTTGATACATTCCTTAATCTGATCAAGTTTGTTAAAAAGATTGGACCCATGCTACCTGGAGAGATCCAAAAGTGTTTGACGAATCTCTCAAATACTGATCAGATTTTTCTTCCGTCCAACGAACTCGTGCTATGGCTTTTGGGTCGTGAAGAGCTAATGACACTGGACGAATATCTGGCCTTTTTTGACAGCCCAATCGCGGTGGAGCTTGAGTCAGATCGGGTGTGGCCTGTTCGCCCTCTGGTTTATTACTAGCAAGTTACAAAGAATCTTAAAGCTCAAAATGCTGCAAGTGTTTCTTTTAATAACTACTTATATTGGTGATTCCAAATTTCGTTTGCCCTTATTCCGCGAGAGAACCGGCCAGGCTAGATGGATGATCATCTCCATCCAGCGTACAGCCTCCGCCATCGCAATAGCCGTCCGCAAGCGTAACGGGTACATTAACAAACTGACAGCCGCCACCTGGACATGAAGCTTCTGCTGTATTGTCAAAGATGCAAGCCCCGCCTTCACATGTGGCGTCCTTACATTTCCTGTAACGAAATAAAAAACAGTCGAACCACTTTAAAAATTTCCGTGCTTTATTGTATGCTACCAGCCCAAATTCGATTTGCGCTGTTAAACTTACCGAAAGTAGCAGAGTCCACCCCGACAAAGAAGCGGAGAAGCACAATTTTCAAAAAGACATCCGCCTGCCACACAATTAGCGGTCTCGCAAGATGTGGGTACGTGATTGTATTGCGAGATAAGATTCTTTTCCGATGATAGGTCGTCCTCTGCGCCGATCGTGTAGTGGAAGACAAAAAGAAGCGGTAGGATCTGAAGCCTCATGATGACGATTTCAGGATCAGATCTTTGCGGCCCTTGATCACTAACGGACCGTTAAATTATGAAAAGTCTTGAAATGTTTCGAATCGCTGCTTAATATAACAACGAAAATATCGAATAATTTGTCAATATGCGATGTTGCATTACTACACCACTAAACTCAACTGCTCTGTACCATTGTGGCTACAATAGAAGTAAGTCAGTCGTGAAAGATACTGATTGCGTTAAAATTAACTCGCTGTGTAAAGAGGTCGGACTGAAGTATTCTGTTCCAGAAATTGTTATTTCACCAAGTCATTATCAACTTTGACAAAATAGTTTAATCTAATTCTTGTATGACGATGTTGGAAACACAGCCACTGCTGAAAGACATCCAAGCTTAAGCGGGTACCAATTTTTTCGCTAAATGCTTCCCATAATCAGTTGTTGCCGACTTGATGATAATTGCGATCTCGTCCGCTTTGTAAAAGTCCTCAATCATCTCCTTCAACGTCACTTCTTTCTTTGTCTTACCCCAATACATTTTTTGATATCGAACCCATAGTTTTGTCTCAGGCCGGTCGAGAAGGTGAGTTGGATTAGTATCTAGCTTATAATGCTGAAATACAAGATTCGGCGGCACAAGAATTTCCAGCCACTTCTGACGCAATTGATTTTGAATTTTTGTCGCAAGCTCTACTGTCTCCGGTGATTGTTTTGCTGCAATTAGTAACGAGGACAAATGTGCGTCCTCAATAGTTTGATAAAGATAATCAAAGAGCGATGTCTCAGCGGATTCGATATTGCTCGTGTAAATATTCCAAACACGCAATGCAGGGCCTGTAAGTAAGCTCGGCTCACTCTTGCCAAACTGCAACGCCTTATAAAGTGCAGTCAAACTTAGATTATCATCTCTCCAGCGTGATATCTGCTCGTGTTGCAGTTCTAAAGCAATGTCTTCCGTGTACTTGTCGGCTCCATTCTTCGCCTGTTCCAACATAATCGACACTTCAAATTCACCAAATTGTTCCTGTAACTTTGACAAAATCGACACTTGTTCTGCTGGATGCTGCAAGTTGTAACTTTCCACAAGTTTTACCCAAGTGTGAAAATTGTCAAGAGACAAAATGTCGTTGTCGGCCTCGTGGAGATTGAGCTTGTTGAAAGTAACGTTTGGATCCACATTTCTCAGCCGCCACCACGCTAGCTTCAGCTTAGCCAAAAAGCGATTAATTTTCGCCCTCAATGCCACTTGAAATGTGATTAATTTTTCAACAAATAGATCCACCTTGCGAATAGCGCTGTTGGCACTGGTCCTCTCCTCGTCTCCGGATGGTGGTCCCGAAACGCTTTGTGTAAAGTTACCGATTTGATCTCCGGGTAATGAGATGTTTTGGACGTCCGTAACTGATACATTTAAGTTTGTAGAAGCATCGATGTGTGCGATAAGGATGAGTGTTGATAGAAATGCCGATGCAACGCCACACAAACGCATTCGGTAACTTTGTTCTCTGTGGTTTGGAGCAGACAAATACAAACTTACGTGCTAAATTGCAGCCCTAATCTTCACCTGCGCAATCAGTCCAAAACTTGAATGTGGCCTTAAGTTGATCGATTGTCGTTACTTTGTGCTCGGAAGAGCAACTCTCTGATACCCAGTTGGTTATAACAACGAGAGATCAAAGTCAGATATGCAGCTCGAGAAACATGTGCTCAGTGTGCATACGATCTGTTTGAGGGCTGGGGCTATAGCTGTGACCATAGACATAAAGTAGTCTCTGGTTATTTCTTGTATTTGGTGACAAAAATTGAGAAAGAAGTGACCTATTCACGGTGAGCGTGCACATCACAAAATTTTCCTCTGAGCTCAAGCAAAGCTCAGCGGGTCGCAGTGCACTTTGCACAAACGAGGCTATGATACTAAATATTCGAGTTAACTGCACGCCCAAAGATTAGGTCCTATACCGCGGACTATATATTTCTTTTCAAAGGCTTCATCGTATATACCGGTTGATATCTTGGTACGTATTTGTATTTTCACAATCACACCTAAGTGCAATGTAATTTTTATAAACAATAATCATTGGATTCAAGGATGCGATTTGACCGGTCGCAATGGAGAAGTGACGTTGGGAGCGACCGAACGCTCTATTTATTGCAATGTTCTTTATTCAAAATTTGCCTGGTATATGCATAAAAAGCCACCCGCTCACCCATCTGCCATCACCTGCTGATGATCTGAGTGGCCTGATGACAGATGTATTATAAAAAGACTAACTAAAAATAAAGCCACTAGTGCTGTCTAGGCAAGCGATACGACACCAGCAAGCAATAAATGGTGAGTGATTTTGACTACTTCGCTCCATCTCTTTCTTAAGTAATGTTTCACAACATGCATCATCACTGCCACTGCTGATGCGCTGTCATTGTGAGAATATCCTTGAATCCATATGAAAAACAATAACTTCCAACAGCCGATTGGTTAGCATAAACGAGATGGCAAGCACATAGCCTGTTGAGTTCCTCCTTTCCCTCCTTACTTCCTCCTTCGAACAAAAGGTGAACAGAAGAAAACTACTTGTGACAAACAGCCCATCCAGCATTTTCTTATCACTTACTGATAGGACTTAAGCCCTCGCTCAATGGACATTGCGACTTCGTTGCTTAAATTGTCTTCGTAACATTTCTAGCGAATTATTCCGTTCCTCAGTCCTAACTTGAGTTGAAGTCGTTCATGGGTATTGTACCTCCACCACCCCCAGCCCCGCGATTGACAACAGAGCTGTCCAAATCATTTTTTGTATTTCTTCCTGAAGCTGCTGAATTTGATAAGGAAGAAGACTTGATAGAGTTGCTCGCTGCACCTCCGCTGATCTCTTATCGCAGGCCCTGACAATGTGCACAAACATCGGGTCAGTCCATTTGACCTTGTAGACAATCACCATATCGAAATAGTGTCAACTTATTGCACCAGTCACGATGATTATTTTGACGTTGTGAAAAGAAAAAAAACATGTTCTTTGAAAGATCTTTGTTCGTCAAAATCTACAAAAGCTTCTTCTGCTTGCACCTGCATCCTTGACACGACTTGACTAGCCATTACTCTTTCTTCTGTCACTGCCAGCCCTGATACTTTTGAGGAATAGCTACCGTTTATATTTCAGGCTGTTATAATATTTGCGGTCAATTATGATCACTTTAGATAACAATATACCGGTAAATTGTACAATTCTACTTAAGTCCTTATCCCGATACACCCTCTAGGGTTTACATCATATTTTGTCACTATAAAAAATGATCGCTCCTCGAGCACTCCACTCTGCTCTGTACCGTGCCTATTTTTTTCAAGAGAATTGCGCCGGGAGTCGGCTAAAGTGCATCACATCCCCCACCTCGTAGAACCTAGATATCTCGCACATAGATTTTATATGTTATCAAAGTACACCTATATTCTTTTCAGCGAAGACAATTGTATTGAATTATTGGTTCAAAAGGCGCTGTGTACATGGAATGGACTAGAGAAGAATGTGATTGACAAATGAAGTAGCATTAATACTTTCTATGTCGACAGCATCTTATTCAAATGTATTGCACACTAGTGCCCGATCTCGCGCGCGGGCATATAGCCTGGTGACTGGAAGCGCGACTCACTGTTTTTCCGTTTGGATCCTAGCCGAGTTCACATTCATCTCATTTCGTCTCGACCAGAATTTTCCGTCCCTGCCCTCATATGACTGGACGCTTGACATCAGCATGCTCAATTTTGGAGTCGGCGGGACCACCGCCAACACCTGGATGCGGCTCTTATAGAGATTGCTCACCAACACACATCAGTGCTAAAATACGCCTCCAAAATGATCTATAACCTAGCCGCCTGTTGCCACAACCGCTGCGATCGCCAAAAGACATGTGTTTTGCGCAAATTCTTCACAGGATGAAAAATGTGAAAGCCTTAGTGTGGTGCAAATGTGGTTAGGCACGGAGCATGCAGCGGGGCTGCCGTAGCGTTGCGCTTAGAGGAAGCGTAATTTAGGCCACCGACCTTTCGTTCTATACTTAGAACAAGTACGAGCCAGCAGATCGCAATCCGCTTACTCCAAGAGTAATTATTGCCTTATTCCAAGGCAAATTACTCTTCCTTTTAAAATCCAAAACTGATTTTTATTTATTCATTGTTAATCTGCGGCTAAACAGCTTTATTTTAAGTGTAAAGATTCTCCTCAATATATATATATATAGCAAAATCAAAATACATGCATAACTACTGGCTACCCAGCCACATACCGTATTTTTATTTGGGTGCAGTCATACCACGCCAATCGCGTGTGACACACACCCCTGTTACCAGGTTACGTATAACCCCGTTACAGGGCAAGTAATTTTTTGTACGTATCTATTACGATACACTAAAATTGATGAGTACGAGGGAGTTGTATAAATATAGATTGCATGGGTACGCTAGATGATAGCTCCACGTCGTGAAACGCATGAGGATACACTGTTATTGAAAATAGTAAAGTTAGTTTAAGTTTGACTTTTTACGCTTACTTCTTAATATATAGCACTTTTGACGCAGAAGAGTGGACTAAGTACTTAGTCGGGTCTGCGCCTGAGTAGACCATTATTTATGTGTACATTAACGCAGATTTATTGTGTCAAAGATTCTTCTGTGCAAGGTGCACGGTAATTCTGTTACACATAATAGGCGTTGTCGACCAGATTCTAAAAGAATACATACTATTTCATGATGGACCACGAATTCCATGAATCCTATCCCGGAAGAAACTAGTAAGATTGACGCTCAGGATGCACCCACTGCACTTGGGATTCCCCACCGCTACCATCTTGTAGTGTCTGCTCTGATAAAATTGCTGACTTAAGAGGTATCATTTCTTTCAAACCATTATTTGAAGCAACGAGTCTCAAAGGAATATTCGGTTCTTGTGGCGACAACCTTAAGGCTACTCTGGGTCAGAACGCCAAGGTATCTTCCAATCAAATTGGCCGTGGCAACACTTTAAGTTTTAACCCGACACTGCTGCATTCACCGAAAGACGAACAACAAAGTTCCTCACTGAGTAAGGTGTGCGGTCTACTTTCTGCCTTTCTTCTGCATTAGTTTCTTGTTTAAATTTTGCATCGGACTTGTCTTGGCAAACCCAGCTAGCCCATGTGTGCGCAAGAGTCGCGACGAAATTTGCCGATTTGGTCATGTCGTGATTATGCTGAATTCGTCTGATGATGCTCGCCACGTCGTTGCAGATTCTTTTTGCGCCTATACGTATGGAATTTCAGCTATAACATAAGGCAAAACGAGCGCTTTCTAACCGCACAAGTCTCTAATTTTAAAAAAAACGCCTGTGTTTTGAACAATAGTGATCGGGTGATGTTGCACCCTCGCTCTGGACCATGTCTGTTGTTACAGAGTTACACGTACCCTTGTAAAAGGGGTGGGACATACAAGATGGTGTGATGACACAATGGTGTGACTACACCTCAACAAGAAGCCACTACGTGGTTGGACTGCCAGTAGTTGTGCACTTTACTTAGGTTTTACTTCGTTAGATAAATCTATATATTTAGATATAGGCGGCTCTGCCGCAAATTAAACAAAAGAAATGCAGTTTGGATCTGTGAACGGAAGAGTATATTTGCCTTGGGTCAAGGATTTTAATACTGTACGAGTGTAGCGAATTGCGATTCGCTACACTTGTACTGGGTCTTGTATAACGCGTAGGGTCGGTGACCGTAGCTTAGCTTCCTCTAAGCAACGAGCTACAGCAACCCCGGTGCCCTTGGTAGCACATGTAGTCAATCTACACCTGCGTCGTTGCGACTGATTTTTTCTGAGGGTGGAGCAATTCCCTTATTTTCTCCAGACCATGCAGGAAGGGTGTAAAAAAATGATGTTCCTGCCTGGCACTGAGGGCGCGTGCAACACCTTCTTTCTCAAGTACCGGAAGCGAGAATCGCGCGCCTATAGGCTTTTTCGAGCTAGAAAATGCTCAGCTAGATCACCAAGAGCAGAAGATGCCGGCGCCGACTGCGTCCATGACGCCACCGTCGGCGACGAGTGACTCCTCCTTACCCAGGCCGCTCATGGCGAGCGTTAAGACCTTCGAGGGTATGGATGGAAAAAATCTCATGTTCTGGTTGAGAAAGGCTGAGGTGGCTATGGCATCCGCCATGCTCCAAAAAAGGAAACAGCGAGATAATCAAGCGCGAGAACGGAATGACGGTACTTCGGCTGCAGCGGCGTTTCCCTTCAGGACGGAGCTGGGCACGAAATTCACTAAGCACTGCTCATGTTTGAAGCAGTCACTACATGCCACGAGAGGCATTATTGGACGAGGGAGAGGAGATCAAATTGTTGTCGCCTCTGAATGAAGCTGTCCTGGAGGACACCAAGAGGGTGCTGAGCGCACGAAGTAAATCCTCGATCCTGAAGAATCCTTCAGATCCGTACTACACTTGGTGAAAGAATTACAAGACGTCGTCTCTAAAGACCCGCCGTCGAACCTACCTCTAGACCGAGGTATGCGTCATGAGATCGGCATGGTTCCTGGAGCTAAATACTGCGTAATACGCCAGTGGTAGCTGCTGAAGAAGCAGTATGACGTCATTAATGCCTTCTTCAGTGAAAAGCAAGCCGGAGGAATGGTGAGTGAGAGCAAATCTCCCCGTTCGACACCCAAGATTTGTGTCCGGAAGCCGAACGACAAGTAATTTAAAGTTCAGGCTTATATTAAGCTCAACGCTACCATTATTCCAGCACAGACAGCGATTTCTAGAAAGGATGTTTTCCAGAGCAACATACAAATTACAGTGCACAACTTGGTCGGTGGGTATTACCAATTGCTCTTGAGAGCGACGCTGATAGCGATGAGTACTCCGAGCGGGATGCTCTGGGGTGCGCTGAGGGTGGACCTAAGGACTGTCAAATGCACTAGCAGCATTTAACCGTCTAGTAATCCATTGTTCAGGCCCCATCGGGCGTATGCACAAACATTCTTCGACGTCCTCTTCGTCCATAGTCGAGCGGAGCGCGGGGGGACGGATGATGAGAACCACATCGTCCATTTAAGAGCGGTGTTCGAGTGCATGCGCACGCATATGCTGAATGCTTATGCAGACAAGTGCATATAGAAATCCATCTCAGGGTGCTTCATTGGGAAGCATAGTTTTACGCAGAAATGACACGGCCACTGTCAAATCTTCTTAAGAAGGATGCAGAATGGTGTTAAGACACCGAGCGTCGGGAGACTTTTGATGGTTTCAGATACAGCCTCTTTCATGCACCAATACTGGTGTTGTCAGACCCTAATCGTCCTTTCAGTGTCGTTTGAGACACATCGGACTTTGCCATCGGCTATGCATTGCTGTAAGCAGACCCCGAGAGATGAGATCGTGTGATCGCGTTCGAATCTCGTCAGCTCAAGGCTGCAGAGAAGAACTACCCAATTCACGAACTTGCGATAAAGTATGCACTTGTCAAGTTTAAGGTGCACCTGCTTGACTCAAAGCCGTTCGTGATCCACACAGATCGTACGTCACAGTCGCCTCACCTCTCGCAGAGGAAGGCCAGGTGGCTCTCCTTATTTGCCGAATATGACTTCGAGTTGAACTATAAGCCAGGAAAGCAAAATGCTTTGGCTGATGCGTTGTCACGCAGACCAGATTATGAGCTTGCTCATGTGACGTCGTCAGTGACGTATTTGATCCGCGCCCCATACGCGAAGTGATGATATGTGCGTAGCGCTGCTACGGGTTCTCGGGAACAAGGATTTGGAAACTTGGACAAGAAGTTGTCGTTGCGATTGCACGCACGGTTGTACCGATATTCGCTAAATAACAGTTGCTGTATTCTTGCACCGACTCGGCGAATACGCCACGTATTATGGTCCCTCATGATGAAGATTGGAAGTAGCGTATACTCTTTAAGGCCCGCGACACCCCATTCAGCATGCATCTCGGTCGTGAGAAGACGTACAGCTCTGTGAGTTGCCACTACTGGG